TAGGATGACCAACCCAGGGATGGCATTACCTACAATGGACTGCACTCTCTACCATCAATCACGATTTAAGAAAATGCCCTACAGCTTACAGCTCTTATAGAGGCATTTTCTTAATTGACGTTCCCTTCTTTCAGATGGCTTTAACTTATGTCAAGTTGACATAAAACTCAACAGTAAACCCTGTTTGTTATATATATTCATTTGTTTACTTTCAATACTGTGTTGACCCATAGCAAGAGCTTTAAGATGTACAACTCAGGTCCAGCCCATGTATATCCGCCCTATATCAGTGGTGAGCAAGATATCCCACCATAGGGAATGGGCTCCGAAAAGTCAATTCATGCACCAGGATAAGTCCTGATCCCACAATGGAGCTATCTCAACCCCTCATGTTTCCATCCACCATCCCCTTCTTTCTAGCCCCCTCCAAGTTTACACAGGATATCCGAACTATTTCCCTTTGCTGGGTCCCTCCATTTATGTCCCTCTTAGGGGCCTCCTTTTTACCTAGCTTCTCTGGGGTTGTGGATTGTAGTTTGATTATCCTTTGCTTTATGCCTAATATCTGCTTATGAGTGAGTGCATACCATGTTTGTCTTTCTGGGCCTGGGTTACCTCAGTCGGGATTTTTTTTTTCTAGTTCCGTCCATACACCTGAAAATTTCAAGATGTCATTACTTTATTCAGCTGAGTAATACTCCATTGTGTACATGTACCACATTTTCTTTAACTGTTCTTTGGTTGAGGGGTATCTAGGTTATTTCCAGGTTCTGGCTATGGTAAACAATGCTTCTATGAACATGTCCATTTCCTTTAAGTTTTCCAATTTTGTTCTGTACATGTTTTCAAAGTATGATCTAATGATTCTCTGGATTTTGTCAGTGTCTGTTGTTATGCCCCCCCTTTTCATTTCTGATTTTGTTAATTTGGATATTTTCTCTCTGTCTATTGGTTAGTTTGGATAAGGATTTGTCTATCTTGTTGATTTTCTCAAAGGACCAACTTTTTGTTTCATTGATCCTTTGTTTTGTTCTCTTTGTTTCTATTTTATTCATTTCAGACTTCAATTTGATTATTTCCTGTCCTCTACTCCTCCTGGATGAGTCTTTTTCTTTTTGTTCTAGGGCTTTCAGGTATGCTGTTAAGTTGTTAGTGTGAGTTTTCTCCATGTTCTTTATGTAGGCATTTAGTGCTGTGAAATTTTCTCTTAACACTGCTTTCATAGTGTCCCATAAGTTTGGGTATTTTGTACTTTCATTTTTGTTGAATTCTAGGAAGTCTTTAATTTCTTTCCTTATTTCTTCTTTGACCCAGTGATGATTCAGTTGAGTGTTGCTCAGTTTCCATGGATATTTAGGCTTTCTGCAATTTGTGTTCTTGTTGTAGTCTAACTTTAAGCCATGGTGATTTAATAAGAAACAGGGAATTATTCCAATTTTTTATCTATTGAGATTTGCTTTGTGACTGAGTATGTGGTGAATTTTAGAGAAAGCTCCCTGAGGTGCTGAGAAAAAGGTTCCATGAGGTGTTTTCATGGAATATTCTATAGATGTTTGTTAACAAGTACATATTTATGACAAATAGGTGTACCTCTTAGTTTTATGTCAACTTGACATAGGCTAAAGGCATCTGAGAAGAGGAAACCTCAATTAAGAAAATGACTCTATAACATATAATAATCAAAACACTAAACATATAGAATAAAGAAAAAATATTAAGAGCTGCAAATGAAAAAAAAGCCAAGTAATGTATAAAGGTAGACCTATCAGAATTATACCAAAATTCTCATTGGAAACTATGAAAGCCAAAAGGTCCTGGACAGATGTTCTGCAGACACTGAGAGATCACAGATGCCAACAGAGACTACTATACCCAACTAACATTTCAATGACCACAGATGGAGAAAAAAAGATATTCCATGACAAAGCAGATTTAAACAATACCTATCTACAAATCCAGTCCTACATAAAGTACTAGAAAGAAAACTCCAACCCAAGGAAGTTAGCTATACCCACAAAAATATAAGCAATTAACCTCATACCAGCAAATCCCAAAGAAGGGAAACATACCAACACTACCACCATCAGTAACAAAATCAAAAGTAAGAGGATTTAACTATCATTGGTCATTAATATCTCTTAATATCAATTACTCAATTTGCCTCTAAAAGACATAGGCTAACAGAGTGGATGTGAAAAAAGGACCCATGCTTCTGCTGTATACAAGAAACACACCTCAACCGCAAAGACAGCCATTACTTAGAATAAAATTTTGGAAAATGTTTTCCAATCAATGGACCTAAGAACATGTGAGTTTAACTATCCTAATACATAACAAAATAGATTTCAAATGAAAATTAATCAAAATAAATGGAGAAGGACATTGCATTTTCATCACAGGAAAAATTTGTCAAGATAAAGTCTTTCTTCTGAATATTTATGCATCAAATATGAGGGTACCCACATTTGTAGAAGAAACATTACTGAACTTCAAATCACACATCTAACCCCACACATTAAAGTGGGAGACTTCAACACTCCACTCTTACCAACAGAGAAGTCTGCCAGACAAAATCTTAACAGGAAAACAGGAGAACTAACAGATGTTATGATTCAAATGAACTTAACAGATATCTACAGAACATTCCACCCAAATACAAAAAGATATACCTTCTTCTTCGCACCTCATGGAACCTTCTATAAAATTGAGTACATATTCGGTCACAAAGCAAACTTCAACAGATACAAAAAAAAAAGGAATAACTTCCTGTATTTTATCAGATCCCCATAGCTTAAAGTTAGAATTCAACAATACTAATTGCAGAAAGCTTACAAACTCATGGAAATTGAACAATGTTTAACTGAATCATCCCTGGGTCAAGGAAATTGAACAATGCTTAACTGAATCATTGCTGGGTCAAGGAAGAAATGAAGAAAGAAATTAAAGACTTCCTAAAATTCAGATCTTACATTAAAAAGGTCAACGACCTATTGAAGTTGATATTTATAAGGGGGAAAGGTAGAAAACTAGTTTCAGTTTTCTCCATGTGTATGAATAACTTGGTTTTCGAGCACTATATGCTTAAGAGAACATGTTTTCTTTGGTGTATATTTTTGTCAAAAATTGGGTCATTGTAACTATATCAGTTTATATTTGGATTCTCTCTTCTGCATCACTGATCTTTGTGTTTGTCTTTGTGCCAGCCCAATCCTAGTTTTGTTACTATGTTTCTATAGTATATTGAAACTAGGAATGGCCATATCTCCAGCAATATTCTTTTTGCTCAGTATTGCTTTATCTATCCAAGGATTTTTATGTTTCCACATGAATTTTAAGATTGGGTGCTTTATTTCTGTGAATAATAGAATTGAAATTTTTATGTAGATTGCATTGACTCTATATATTGATTGCTTTTGGCTGTATGCTCATTTTAGCAACATTATAATTCTTCCATTCCATAGCTATGTAAAATCATTCAATTTTCTAGTGTCTTCCTCAATTTCTTTCTTTAGCATTATAAAAGTTATCTTTGTAGAGATGTCTTAGTTATTTTTCTATTGCTATGATAAAATACCTACTATGACAAAAAGCAACTTGGGGAGGAAAAGGTTTATTTCATCTTACTGCTCTGTGTCACAGTCCACCATCAAAGGAAGTTAGGGAAGGAAACTGAAGACAGGAACTGAAGCAAAACTGTGGATTAATGCTGCCTACCGGCTTGCTCCCCAACGCTTGTTTAACCTACTTTCTTTTATAACCCGTGGGTGGCATCACCCACAATGGACTGAACCCTCCCATATGAATTATTAAACAAAAAAATGTTCCCCAGACTTTCCTACGGGGCACTCTGGAGCACTTTAGCCATTGAAGGTCCCCTTTCCCAAGGACTCTAGTTTGTTTCAAGAAAAAAACTAAGCAGTACAAGACATCCTTCACTTTGTTGTTAGGTTTATTTTAAGAGATTTGCAAGGTAATTATGAATGAGGTATTTTTCTATTATTTTTAGAATTTTTTGTACACAGGAAGGTTATTGATGATTTTCAAGTTAATTTTATTTCCTGCTAGTTTGCTATAAGTGTTTATCAGCTCTTAGAATTTTAAAAGGTTTATATGCCTTTGAGTATATATACACAAACATACACACACACACACACACACACACACACATATCCTTGGCACTTTTATTTTTGTTTCTTGTCTAGATAGAGGTAAAACACTTTATTGAATAAGAACAGGTAAAGTAGCCAGTATTGTCTTGTTTTGATTATGGTGGAAATGTTGGCTATAAGGTTGTCATACACAGCTTTTTTATGTTGAGATACATTTCTTATTCCTAGTTTCTTCATGGATTTTATCATGAAGGGACATTAGATTTTCTCAAAAGCCTTCTGCATCACTTGACATGGTCCTGTGATATCTGACCTTGAGTCTATTTATGTGATGTATTACATTACTAACTGTCTAGGGGAAGAATGGAAGCTAACAACAGAATTAGACAATAGTTAGAAACAGGAGAGAAGGGACTTTATGGGTAAAAAACAAACTCAAAACATATTGTACATTTGTGTGAAAGGTATCATTGTACGACCTATTAGCCATGTACAATTATGTTTATATATTTATATATGTATGTATATACACACATGCACACATAGATAATCATATAAGCAGTCCAGTAATTAGAGTACGTCCAAGATTCTGACATGGAGGGCATATTCCCTGCCCCCACATGGTTCGCCATATATTGTGGAGATGGACTCACAATTGAATGATTATACAGAAGTAAGAAAATCTAAAGTACAGGTGAGGGCAAAGTACTAAGGGAAGCTAAACAGCAAGTAGGCAGCACTCTGAGTAACAAAATATGGATATAGTGCTTAAGAATGTGATAAAATTTGGAAAATTAAATAGAAGAATGTAAATGAAGGTATATGTACTTATTTATAAAAAGAGCATAATGTTGGTGGTTTTTGAGTCATGTTGGTACCATGTTGTTACAGAAATACACTGTGATGAAATGCTTCTCTATGTTGCCAAAATGAACACTGAAGAAAAATGAAGCAAACCGAAGAATTCTGCCAAAAAGTTGCACAACTGAAGTAGCCAAACTCTTCTGGAGTCTTTAATTCATCCACGGCCATCATTTTAAAAAGGTAAGGACATATATTATGACTTTGCCCTTTTAAATTTTTGTTTAATTTATATAATACTAAATAAAACATAAAAGTTCAGTTATTAACAATAAAGTGTTAATGGTTCACTTCTGCATATTTGCAAACTGTCCTGGTTCTAGGAATACAGTAATAAATTAAAACATGAAAACTGCAGCATTGAAGTAAATGGTAGTATAATGTCGGAAGGGTTGCATATGTAAATGAGTGGGAAGGATAGTAGTAGCCACTGATGGTGTTTATGAACATGGTATACAGTCTGGTAAGGCAAAGCATGGATGAGGGACTACTTGCAAATTGTCCCTTGCTTCCTGCATGACTCCTGGCCACTGGACATATTGTTGCTGAAACTACTGTATTATAGGGCTAACCTATGTAAAAGGTGCTCTTCTAGATGAGAAGTGTATGGAATTTTAAGAATTGGTGGCTTATGTCAGCTAAGAAGGGGGTGGGAAGGATCTATAAGGCATAGGGGAGAGACAACCATAAGAATAACCAGAATGAATTCTATAAAAACATCTAATTTCAGTTTAAATAAAGAATGGCTTAATGAGTCGAACTTTCATGTTGGGTTATTCTTAGACATAAAATGGAAGGAAATCCATTTTATGGAAATCCATGGGGCATGTGCTACATTAAAGTAGGTGTTTAGAACTCCTAATAACTCACCTGAATAATGTTTAAAGTCTTAAAAAAAATAAAGACTACTATTTTCTAAACCATGTTTCTTTCGTGGCTTTGAACTCAGATGTTATGACCACTTTTCTTCCTCGACTCCAGATTCCTTTCAAAAGCCTTTGGTCGTAAAGTAGTCTCAGCCCAGTGGTTATATAGAACCAGATAATTGAAGACTTGTGAAATAAAGTATACTCATGTAAAGGTAGAATACAAAGAAATGATATAGTTTGAAAGGAAAATGCAAGCACAGAAAAACACCAGAGTAGTCTGAGACTTCAGTCGAGGCACCCAGTATCTTTTTCTGTATCACAAAGGATGTGGATGCACATGTGTGTGGGAGTGTGCATACATCTGTCATGTGTCATGTGTGTATATGGAGGTACATCTCAGGTGTCTTTCTTCAGGTGCTATCTGCCTTGCTTTTGAAACAGAGTTGCTCATTATCCTCAAGTTCACCAAGTAGTTTAAACTGGACCGTCATTAATCCCCAGGAATCTGACTTCGCTGACTCCCCAGTGCTTGGATTGCAAGTATGTGCAGTCACATTAAACTTGGGTCCTTATGATTGCACCTGACTGAGGTGTTTCACCAACCCATTCTTCAATGAACCATATAGTCAAGTTCTGGGGGTACCTTTTCAGCAGCACTTAATAAATGATTGATAAAAAACATGCTACATGTGCCCTGAACAAGACTCAATACCATGGTTCTCAGTATCAGCAAGGTAGATACAGAGCTACCTATAATGAACTGTAAATTAACACTACCTCCACAATTCAGAGAACTGAATCTCAGAGATTTGGTTAGAGAAGACGTAAAGTGGTGTGGCATGCTCTACTGTCTTAGACTATCAGTAATCCCCAGGACTCTGACTTTCTCTCCTTCCAGTGCTTGCTTGGATTGCAATTGTGCGCATTTACACCAGCTTTTGTACATGGATTCTAGGGGTAATTACAACTGTAATTACCTGGTAATATTTAAAAGGAGCTAACATTTCTAGAAGTGGTTGGATTCGGGATATAATCCCGAATATATAATAGTATAAGGTAGAGAAAAGTAACGGTGTCTTTGTTTGTTCCCCCAAATGGGTGTTGATAATTAAGGAATGGTATCAGTTCAGTTTTAAGGAAGTGAAGATATGAGACAGGGAAAAGAAAAATAGAACGAAGGTTCTTTCTAATGGTTGTGACAATGACATACACAATCCTCTAGGTAATTCCAGTGCATAATATAGATGATATTTTGGGTTTACCCTGCCATGGAAAACTAAATTGGATTATTTAGTCTTCTTATATCTGCCTTGGCATAGTGAGGACTAATTTCTAGGGTAAAATGTGAAAATGTTAATTCTCTAGCATTTATGGCCTACTAAGTACTTGAACTAAAACAACAAGAGCAGCCAGAGGAAGCTCAAAGGCACAAATCCATACATTTGCCATCAGCATCTGTCATTAGATCAGCACGCAGAACACTCGAGTGTTCTGGGGCTGAGGATGGAGCACTGTCTGCTTCTGAGAGAACAACAAAGGCGGTGATCGTCAGGAGCTAGGTAATATACCAGACCCTTCAATTATACCTTATCATCTATTTCTTATTTGTTGAGTAGTCACTCTGTGCCAAGGCAATCAATGGTCATACGTCCAAGTCTCCTCTGAAAGGTGTATTGACATCAGGGTGTGTTTATAATGAGATCTCTCCACAGGAGGGATAGTGAAATGGAAATCTACAACTCAGATTTCTTCACTCTGAAACTAAATTAACCATGTCCCCTTTCTACTGTTTTTCTGAACTGCTTCCATTGTTCTCCAGGGTCTGTGTTAAGACTGGCATTCTTCCATTCAGGAGGTGTGACCAATTTTAGTGTGTTACTTAGCAAGCTAATGTGAACATCTCAAGTCTTGCACAGACAGAGTGGGAACCTGATTGTGGAAATAAATGCTGGGAAGAACTGTGAATTAAAAACCTGAACCCAAATCCTCACCCCTGCTGATTTAGAAACATATTGCCTTTACTCTTCATTTCTAAACATTGTGATAGTTCTTTGATCCTATTTCTAAAAGGTTAGGTGAGAATTTAGAAAAAGAAGCAAATGAGCATAAAATAACATATTCAGAGAAAAATAGGTAACACAGGAAAAACAAATACAGGAAGTTCAGTGAGTACTCTGATACATAGTACATTAATTAGTTTAAATTAAATTTTCCTTTGAGGAGTAGACTATTCCCATTCCATCTTTCAAGGTTCACTCTAAGAATACCTCTATTCTAAATTTGTGCCTTTTATTCCTTGCTGAATTAAATATTGCATGAAACATAAATATCAGGAGGTGTTGACATAACTGTTGCTTGTGTTATTATGATCATTTTACTTTTTTCAAATTGAAGCAAGCCTTTTTATTTGTGTGCATGGGCTCTTTCCCCCTAAGGCGAGGTTCAAAAGATCAGCCCTGGACATAGGGATAGTGAGTCTTTTATAGCTTAAGGGTAGGCGATTTTCCAAATGGGGAAGCTGTCAGGCAAATAAGCGGTGACATGAGGTTGGGTGTCACAGAAGTAGAATATAAATGTAGAAAGTTGGCCATAAAAACCTGACACAAAGGCATGGTTACAAGGCAGCCATAACAAGGTGGTCACATCTCTTGAAACAAAGTCATGGTTGTCATTTCCTGGAAAAGGCAGTACAGAAGCATTTGTAATTAAGGATACAAGTGAGCATAGCTCAATCTTTGAAAAACAGAATTAACCATAAACAGGAACGAATCTAGTTTGTCTTTACTATAAAAATGCTTTTAAGCCCAAGATGGGGGCAGGCTGGTTTATCAATAGTCCCATGGGAAAGCAATGGCTTGGGAGCATTTATCAGGTTTTAAAGATTAGGTTGAGAAACCAACAGGGTAAGTCCTGGAGCACAAGACTGGAGAAGAATGGCAGAATGGCAGGGAAGCAGATGATCTGAAACCAAGGCATTTGAAAACTGAAAAACAAAACAAGAGTTAACTAAGCAAACAAAGCAAAGACAGGTAACCTCCTTCTCTGTCACGCTGTCTCCCTCTGTCTCCGTCTCTCTGCCCCCCAACACACAAGCACAAATGTATAGATACACACACACGCACGCACGCACGCATGCACACATGTACACACACACACACTCCTAGTCATTCTTAGCTGCAGTCATAGTATTCCAAACTTAGCTATGAGACTGTGCCTCAAAATCAAACAAAATCAACAAAACTAAAGTAGTACAAACATTATAAGAATCAGACTAAGTCAACAGTAGCTGCAAACCTACATATATATATATATAATTAGTATATATATATACTATAATATATATATATTTATATATATACTAATTATTGAAACTATGTAAACATAGCAGCTTCATGGACAAAAGAAAACTTAGTTTGAGGGTAACAGGAAATCAAACAAGGACTTAGTAGCAGATAATCAGAAGAAGAAAGAGGCACAACTGCTAAGGAAAACTACCAGTGGAAAGTACAAGAATAAGAATATAGAAAGGTAGGTTCCAAAAATAGTAATGTAAAAATACAGAATTATAAAGTTGTAAGCCTAGGAGAATGAGAGCAGACTTTCAGCATCTTATTTTAGTAGCTTAAGGATTAACTATGAATGGTGGGTTACTTTGCTTTCCACCTTATAGCTCTGTCTTAAAGGCTGAAGTGGCCCTCTGCAAACTGAGGGTTCCTGTGCAAACTGAGGGTCAGTTTTTATAGATAATTCCCCCCACTCCTGGGCATGACCAGCAACTTACATGAGCTAATTTTTTATTATTGTTTATATTGAATTATATATTTTTCGCAGCTCCCCTCCCTTCTTCCCCCTCCTCTTCTACCCTATTATGATCCTGTTACCAATTTACTCAGGAGATCTTGTCTTTTTCTACATCCCATGTAGATTAGATCCATGTATGTCTCTCTTAGTGTCCTCTTTGTTGTCTAATTTTTCTGGGATTGTGAATTGTACGTTTTGCTTTATATCAAAAAAGCACTTATGAGTGAGTACATATTATATTTGTATTTTTGAACCTGGGTTACTTCACTCAATATGATGTTTTCTAGATCCATCCATTTGCCTGCAAATTTCAAGATGTCATTTTTTTTTCTGCTGTGTTGTACTCCATTTGCATAAATGTACCACATTTTCCTTATCCATTCTTCAGTCGAGGGGCATTTGGGTTGTTTCCAGGTTCTAGCTATAATGAATAATGATGCTATGAACATAGTTGCACACATGTCATTGTGGTATGATTGAGCATCCTTTCTGTATATACCCAACAGTAGTATT